TGATGACTATATCTTAAACTTCTGGAAGCTAGCGTGATATGTTAATCCTGAGTATATGCTTTTGGCTGTGTATTGACCCTGTGGATTTGTCTCTCTAAGAAAAGAAGCTGAGCGCCTTACCCGGTGCAGTCTTGCACCTTTCTCTTTCTCTCTGGAGTCATCTGGAAGAGAATTCACACTGTTTAGCATTCTCCTTGACACATCTACTGTTGCTGTCACCACCCCCCTACAATCTTCCTGGGAGTGAAGACACGGAGTCCCTACCAATTGTCCCATTGTAGGGAACAAAGAAAGCCAATGTTTCTTCTGTACAGATTGCTTCTTGTCCACCTCTCCATACTTCCCTGTTTCCCACACACTCATACCCTGTGTCTGTCTCTTGTCATCATTACGTGAGAGGCCCAGGTGGAATCTCCCATTCTTATGTGAGTTTTATAAAAATGTACACTGTGCTTAACCCCCACCCATCCTTGGTGTCCTCTAGTGCAATAAAGCCCTCCTGAGTGGCAGTTTCTCCCAGCAAAGATCAGGTGAGCTCCTCTGCGGAAGCCAGCTCCCCGCTTCTTTGCCTCTCCCACAAGACCAAGTTGTTTAATGGGCCAGAGATGAAGCCAGTGGGGAACATTTCCCCCTTGACTGCTACAAGCCTGAGTGCTGATGTGGTCTTCCTCTCCTCCCAATTTCTTGATCCTGCACCTTCGCCACTTAGGCCCTGCCTGTGTCATTCTACCGCCATCCTTCACCTCTCCCTTAGCCTCATGGAGAGGACACATTTTCTAATGTCTGTATATAGTATATATACTACACAAAATATATAAATTATATATATATATACTAATTTATGTCTTGTTTTTCAAATAAGAATGATTAAACCTATTCATCTTACTATCCCAATAAGTCTTGGTGGTGCCTCTTTGTGGGTGTCCTTGTGTCCTTGAATTGTTGGTTGGTAGTGGCCTTCTGAATACTTTTCCTGTGCTTCTCTTCCCATCTACCTGGACTCCAGTGTGTGATGACAGCTGAGGACCCTGCTCCTCCTGCCTTCGCTCTGTTCCTCTTAGAAGCCTCCTGTTCATCACAGGAGTTGGATACTGTCTACTCCTTTCTCTTTACCCTGGGGCCTCTGGCTCAGCTGGTCACCAAGGCTATGACCTGAGAGCTGAAGGGGACAGGGAGCAGGGTAGGGGCAGAAACACAATATGCTCTGTGCCCAGTGCACCGGTGGCCTAGCAGTCCGGAGACAGGGTTTTAGGCCACCTTTCAGGTTGGAATTGGGAAATGGGGCCTCTCCCTCTGAAGTGTGCCCAATCACCTCAGAGTATAGTCACCTAAAACTGCTTTGTAGTTTAAGCTAGTGACTCCCTTTGCAATGACCTCTGGCAATGTATTGGGAGGGTGGACTGGCCTCTTCAGCATTTCAGAGCAGTTACCTAATGGTGAGAAATGATTTTATTTCTCTGTTCTTTCATTTCCTTCTGGTAATCACAGGTCCCCACTAGCCTGTGAGGTGGCTTTGTGCTAATTAGAAAAAGGTTCTCTTTGCCACTCCCACCTGCTCCCCCGCCCCCATGATGAATTAGAAAAACAAAAAGCCCACCCCCTGGGTGATGCTAGTCCTGAGGGGATATGGCTTGGTCATTTTAGCTCTACCCAGCCCCACTGGCCTCGTTGGCCGATTGCACAAACTACACAGCCATGTACGGTAGCCCTGATTATTCACTTCCTCCCAAAGACTAAGCACAGACTTTTTCTCATGTCTGCAAAGGTTGTGGCTAAAGCGGTTTGGAAGCAAAGCATAGAGGAGGAGCAAGAGACAGTGCAGTCAGGCTGGGCTGCTACGGATCCTGTCCCACAAGGTTGGGACTCAGTGAAACGCAGTGCCAGTGTACAGTAAGGCCTGCTACCCCTCAAAATGACCCAAGAAATTGGGGCTCTGGCTCTGCACTACACTGGTAGCTGCTCACAGTCAGAAAGCATGCTTACTCGGTTCTATATGCTGGGTACCCACCCACACAGTATCTGGCACTTAGTAGGTCTTCAGTAAATATTTGTTGGATGAGTGTTGAATGAGATGACTGTCAGGAAAGCCCTCCCAGACCTCTGTACCTTGTGAAAAGGGCCCTCTCCTCTGGGAATGGTTAATCCAGGGCAGCACAGTTGGACAAAACCAGGCAGCCTGGCACCTCCTATCAAAGGATATGTAGTCGGGTCTGAAATCTGTCATCCTGCTGACTCAGCTGAGTTTCACCAACAACTTTCCAAAATCTTCACAAACTCTCCTGAGGTGACCGATGGTCTCCTTTTCTGTGGATCCAGAGTCATTCTCTGCAGTAGCCAGGAGCATTGGGGGCGGCCATCTTCCCACCAGCATCTTCCTTGCCATCTTCAGCCTGAGCCAGAGCCTGAAGCTGATGATCTCCGACAGCCCCATACCAGACACAAGTCCCCAGAGCCTGACTCCTGCCTTTCTAATTTCAGCCAATTAAAGGGAAATGAGTTAATGCTTTTGGCATGTGCCCAGGATGCTTGTGGTGCTAGCACATTCACATTTTTTCAAGCTGTTTGTCAAAGCACTGTGGATAATAGGCAATTTCATCAACAATGAATTGAAAAGACCTGCCTCAGCCAGAACTTTTCTTACCAAAGGGGCAGGGAAGGATCAGTTGCCAGCACTGGAAAGGGGCATGAGTTTATGTTTTAGGTTCAAATTTCTCCAAGTAGTCACTAGGATGGAAGTAATAACTGCATCCCATTCCCCCATTTTGTAGGCTGGAAGTCAGACTATGCGCGTGTGTCTGGAGTAAGGAGGAGGTCCTCCGTGGAGTGGGAGGAAATGACCTCTGAGGGTTCAGTCCTGGACCCTGACAAAATGTCCTGGACTCCAGATGGGTCTCTTGGTTCCAATGCCCTAACTTGCTAAAAGCCAATGTTAGGTGGAAATTCTGGAAGCCCACTTCACAAAACTACTTCTTTCACTTTAGTGTTTCCAGTGATTCCTTCCCACCCATGCTCACACATCCATACACCCAGTTCTTGGGTACTGCCTATACTCCCAGTATCATGAGGATAAGCACCCACACTGATGTTTCCAGCTGCAGGTCTTGGACCTATCACTTAGGAATGAGCTCAGTTTTAGCTTCCCTGCCCTCCTGTCTGTCTGTCCTTTCCTCTGGATGTTGATTCGCCATTCTTATTTTCAAGGCTTTGGCTGAAAGGAATATGCGTTTGTACCCTGTTGGGAGCCTTCCACAACACAGAAAAGTTGATCCCTGCCCTTAAATATGCAAAACCAACTGTGCATGAGCACTTGCCATATGCCAGGCACTGTGTTAAGTAATTTACACACGTGTTCTCATTTAATCTTAATCCTTTGAGAGAGAGACTGTGATTATATCTACTTCTCAGAGGAGAAAACTGAAGCCCAGAGAGGTTAACTCACTAGCCCAAGGCCACACAGCTGGTAAGTGATTATCCAGTCAGTTTTCCAACCCAACCTAGATGTTCAACTGCTATCCTGCAGTACTCAGCCCAGCTCTACCTTTGAAGCACCTCCCCTGGAAACAGGCACGGATGCAGCCATACTCTTGAGAAGATAGCCTGCAGTTGTTGCTTGGGGCCCAGGCAATATGTGGGTTGTAACAGGTAGTTGGGAACACTGGGGTGTGAGGTGCAGGATACTGCAAGCCTACGTGAACCACCTCCCCAACACACACACACACACACACACACACACACACACACACACACACACACACCTCTTTTTGCTACACTAGCCTAGTGCCACACTCACCTCGGAGCCAGGGAGTGGAACGATATATGTGCATGGAAATTTGTGGGTAGAGCTGTTGTGTTCAAAAAGCCACCAACAAAATTATGGGCCACCACCATATGCTCCTCAAACTGGAGTCTAAGTCTCCCAGGGAATGTGGTGGTGTGCCAGCAAACACAAAAAGCCACAGTTATGATGTCACCCATATTCCTGATGCATTTGTATTTTTTTTTTCAAAAATTTGGGAGGAAAATACGCGGATGATACATTAAATATTTATATCTAAAAATATGAAGAGGAATGCAGAAGTTTCATGCAGTGTAAAGAATACATATCTTTTCAACAACACTTGAGACTCATGTCTGATACTTCTTGCTCCATTCCCATACCAACCTCCTGACATCCAGGTTCACTCCCCTCTACCACCAAACATGCTTTAGTGGAAATATGGGGCACACTCAAGGTCTATCAGATGAGCTAACTGGTGACGTGGGCCCCAAGGACAGGATATGTAGGACTGGCCTATTTCCGTGGCTCTGAGCGCTGGTGGGGATTGGGCACTTCTTCGGGGATAAATAGGAGATGTGGCATGATGGAGTGCCAGGAAGGGTCACCAGGAAAAGATGGGGCAGCGTTACCAAAGCCTTCTGCCCCTACCTGACCTCACCCCACCCCATTGTGACCTATTATACATTTTGGCACAAGGTCAGCCCCAGGCACAGACTGAGGGAGCCATATTCCCTGCAAGCTGGAGGTATCTGCAATGAGCAAGTAAGCAGGGAGGCTGTGTGAGTTAAGATGAGCCGCTCCCCCACCCCAGAATCAGGGCTCAGGTCTATTTTCAGCCCAGCCAATGACTTTCCATATGATGGGGTACAAGTCATTTCACCTCTTTGGGGCTCTTCTCTAAAATGAAGGTGACTGAGTCTCTGGCCTCCCTCGGTGGCTCTGAAGATTAATGAGGTAGTGCTGGAAAAGCAGCTGTAAAAATTCTGAGTCCTAGCTGTATGAGCTTAACAAGTACAAATTGAACCTCCCCATTTGCAGCTGGTCCACAGAAACTAATTAAGCTTGCACCAGGAGCCTGGAACTGGAAACTTGGGGGGCATATTTTCTTCAAATATTGATTGTTCTCAGTCAAAACCATCTTCTAGTCAGTTCCCCTCAA